CTGTAATTTTCCACAGTAAGAACAAAGAGGTGTTCTTACACCTGGAAAAGACTATAAAAGGCTGATGTCTAATCTCCATCTTGTCTTCAATCCTGCTTCATACCTCTGGAGGAACTTTGCTACAAACTGAAGCTCTACACAAAGGACTGATGACCCATCCCAGCTGGGATGTACTCCAGAGACTTGATTTTGAACCTGCAGTTTATTCTATCACTGCTACAAGCCTGAACCAAGAACTTTGCCATTACTGTATGTAATTGATTCCATTTAACCAATTCTAGCTCTCATCTATATCTTTTTCCTTTTATGAATAAACATTTAGATTTTAGATTCTAAAGGATTGGCAACAGCATGATTTGTGGGTAAGATCTGATTTGTATATTGACCTGGGTCTGGGGCTTGGTCCTTTGGGATCAAGAGAACCTTTTTTCTTTTACTGGGGTGTTGGTTTTCATAACCATTTGTCCCCGTAAGAGTGGCACTGGTGGTGATACTGGGAAACTGGAGTGTCTAAGGGAATTGCTTGTGTGACTTGTGGTTAGCCAGTGGGGTGATACCAATGTCCTCTTTGTCTGGCTGGTTTGGTTTGCCTTAGAGGTGGAAAAATCCCAGCCTGGGGCTGTAACTGCCCTGTTTAAAGCAATTTGTCCTGAATTGGCACTCTCAGTTGGGTACTGCCAGAACAGCATCGTTACACCGACTCTCTGCACTGGCCAGAAAAGGGGAAGTGGAGTCAATGCTCTGCCCATTCCCAGTTTAGCCCCAACCATCTGCCCCACTCACTCCTGCGCCTGGCCTCAGGGCCTGGTCTCCTGTGTGGGGCAAAAGGCTGGCATTCATCCCCACAGGGATGCCCAGGCCAAGCCACTGCCCTGCCCTTCAAGGGCTGCTCTTAAACCATGTGACCCTCAAAGTGAGCTTGGGGCAGAGCCCCGGCGTGGGGATGGCGCTCAGACCTCTCCAAGGTCTTCCTCCTGGGAGCTGCCTAGCAGCACTCCGAGCCCAACCCAGCTCCTGAATGGCCTCTGTCCTCGGGGTCATGACTCTGTCAGCAAAGATGGGGGAGGCAGGCCCTGAAGTGCCGCCAGACCCTTGCACAAGCAGAGGGCCCAGCACAGCGAGGCCCCTTCACCCCTCCTGCAGCCTCACCAATACAGCCGAAGGCCCCTCATATCCAAGTTTCCCCCCTCAGTCCTCCCAAACTGCCAGCCTCTCCTCCACCCCAAACCCCTTATCCTCCTTTCTCCCTCTTCCCCAGCCCCCTCATCCTCTCCTCCCCCTCCTACCAACCCCCTTCATCCTCCCCTTTCCCCAGCCCCCTCAGCCTCTCGTCCCCCTCCTACCAACCCCCCAAACCTCCCCCAAATACTCCCCTCCCCAACCAACCCTCCAAATTGTCCCTCCCTCAAACCCCCAAATCCTCCCTGTCCCCACTCAGCAACCCCCCAATCTTACCTTCCCGCAACACCCTCATCCTCCCCTCCCCCCACCAACACCCTCATTTTCGGGGGGGCCTATTTCCTGGAGCTCAGACAGCCCATCCAGAGGCACGAACTTGGCATGTCCTGCAGGTGACTCAGCAATGGCACCCAACGGGGTGACTCTCAGTTGCTGGATTGTGTGTTCTAGAGCAGCAAGAAATGACTCCATTAGCAATCCTTTTCCTCCACGGCATGCTCCACATCTGAGCCCCTTCCACAACCTCCTTTGCAAGAGTCGCTCACAAAGTTCTCCACCTGTGCAGCCAGTAGTGGCAACTCAGTGGACTCCAGCTGATGGTTCTGACCCTGTGATCACAGGGGTGGCTGCAGGCCATTCTCTTGCTTTCAAGTTATCCATTACGTCGCATGCACGCTTCATTTCATATTTGTAGCCTGTGGACGTGGCCTGGGGGAGGGAAGGTCTCCAGGGATAGATCACTGGGTGTGGACAGTGTTGTATTTGTTGTTGCTGTTTCAGTGAAGGATGAGGCTGGTTTCAGGACAACCCATTTATCTAACTAGCAACAAGAGATGAGAGACAGGGGAAACAAATTACTGCCTAATGTTTTAACAACTCGCCTGGCTGCATAGCTGCCTCTGGAATAGGGCTGTGAGATATTGCATCTCCTAACTGTCAGGGTTGTTAAGCACTGGAACAAATTGCCTAGGGAGGTTCTGGAATTTCCATCACTGGAGATTTTTAAGAGCAGGTTAGACAAACACCTGTCAGGGATGGTCTAGAGATAATGCTTAGTTCTGCAGGGGACTAGACTTGTGCAAGGGACTAAACTTGAAGTCTTGTCCAGTCCTACGATTCTATGATATGATAACTAATTTTCCAACAATATTCGCTCCCACATTTAAATGAACTCTCTTTGGCCACATTTGCTGCCCTATGCACTTGCGTTCCGCAAACACTCAACTGATTGAGATTTACTCACATCAAATGTTCAGAGAAACCCAATTTCAAAATTAAACACATGAGTGTTTGTGGGGAAACTAAATTTAAATCCCCACCCACAAGTATTTGGAGGTCCTTGCAATCTCATCCAGCCACAATACCATGTGACTTTCTGGCTACCACAGCTCAGATTTTAACAGGTGGGGAGTACTGAAATTCTCAGAGACAACTGCTCTCAATCAATTCAGAAGGTAAAAAATTAATCCAATACAACATTGACTGAATAAATGTGGATAACTAATACATTCAAGGGAAATCACCAGGGTTCACAGATATTCACCAAGCAGCACAGACACTAAATCTGGATGCATTTGTTGTGAATTATTTGCTCTGCTCTCCCCAGGAGCTCACTGTCAAGTTCCTGAGAGAGGGTGAAGCTGAGAGCAGAAGTGTTGCAGTTTTTAATACTGTGAAATAAACCCCCTCCCCAGTAGTCTAGGCAGTGCATGTAGTGCCTAGCTGCTAGACTGAATCCGTCCCACCACACTTGGCTCTGACCCTCGTATGTACAAAGAGCTCCCACATGCTCCTAGGCTTTCACAGCTGAATAAGCTGTCTGGGGGCTGGAATAAAAATGAGGTTTTCCCCCAGCTGATTAGATGCTCATATAGCAACCCCAGGCACATTGGATCATTTCTCTGCCAATGCACCTGAATCTGGCCCTGCAGCCCATCCCCTTATACCAGCCTTGATGCTCTCAGTGGTTGAGGCAGTCAGTTATGCTGGAGTTATGTGTGGTGGAGAAGCTAAATGAATTCTTTGTATGGGTCTTGTAGCAAAGTGATGACTCACTGGCACAGCACCTCCTGCTGGTCATCCAGGGAATTAGCTCAACTTCAGAGCACCCTCTGCTGGACGGTGTGTCACCTGCCACTGGCCCCATGTCCTCCCAGACCCCAGTGCCCTTGACCACAGGGTTCTGCCCCAGCAGTACCCCTATGCTCTGGGTCTCCCCTCCCAGGGGAACCCTCTATCCCCACCTTGCCTCAGTGGCTACTGCCAGTCATCATCTAGCCCCCACTCACTGGGGCAGACTGCAGTCTATAAACCACTCATCACTAGCAAGGGGGGTTTGGACCTGCTACCTTTCCCTGCAGCCCAGTACCTCTCTAGGCCTTCCTGTCAAGCCACAGCCCGGGAGGTCGCCAGGCCTGAGCTCAGCTCAGCTCAGCTCAGCCCCTGCCCCAGCACTGCTCTGTGCATGGTACCTGAGCTCCCAGGCAGCTAGGTCCATCTCTCTCCAGAACTAGAGAGGGACTCCTCAGCTCCTGGCCCCCAGCCCTCTTATCAGGGCCCTAATTGAGCTGGCCACAGCTGTGGCTGCTTCCCCAATCAGCCTAACTTGGCTGCTTTTAACCCCTGTTCTGCAGGAGTGGGGCAGCTGCCCTATTACAGTCTTCACTGCAGAGGATGTGAGGAAGATTCCCACACTTAAGCCATTCTTTTTAGGTGGCAAATCTGAGGAACTGTCCCAGACTGATGAACAGCAACTATCACAAGACTAGCAACAAAATCACGAGAACTGGCACCATTGCATATGTTTGGGTTTAAACTTGTCACAGAGGGGTTTGTAACTTAAGCGCGACCTGTGCCGGAAAGCCCCAGGGTGAAACTGACTAGCTGCTTTTCACAACCCAAGCTGAGAGAAATGTAAAGACTGAACAAACAGCATAAATGGGGAAAGATCACTTAGATTTTTAAAATCCCTTTAATCTGATGCTATTGTGTCATGTCCTGGGCATGCTTTGGTGCAGCAGAGAGCCAGTCAAAGTCAAGCAGGGGATTGGTACCTACACTCAACCCCACCCCCTGCTCAGGGGCATGTTCCATGCTGACTCTCTCCCCTGGCAAAGGGAGAGGGAATCAGGATGGCAATGCCCATGCACAGTGTTTTCATAGCTCTATAGGGGAGCGCTTTCCTCTGTGGTTCTCAGTTAGCTGGGAACATTCATGGGCGGTGCAGTCTAAGGGTACATCTACACTACAGCGGGGAGTCGATTTAAGATACGCAAATTCAGCTACGTGAATAGCGTAGCTGAATTCGACGTATTACAGCCGACTTACCCCGTTGTGAGGACGGCGGCAAAATCGACTTCTGCCGCTTTTTGTCGGCGGCGCTTACTACCACCTCCGCTGGTGGAGTTAGAGCGCCGATTCTGGGATTGATTGTCGCGTCCCAACGGGACGCGATAAATCGATCCCCGAGAGGTCGATTTCTACCCGCCGATTCAGGCGGGTAGTATAGACCAGGCCTCAGACAGGGTGGTCAATAGCTGCAGCTGTTGGGCAGGAATGGGGGGTGGTACCCAGGAGGGCCCTCCTCTGTGGTGATCGGGATGGGCACAACGTCTATCCCCACACCAGTGACCGGCCCCCTGAATCCCCCAAACTCCAGGGGAGTCCTTATCATTTGACGTGAGGATTCGTTGCTCTCTGTGTTTTGAGCACAGATGCAGCAGCGCCCGAACACGCACAGGACTGGGTGAGTTGCTCCAGAGTCAGCTAACATGTTTTCCCTGCTCCTGCCTGCCAAGTGATATGCACTTGGGATTTCTCTCCTCCTGCTTTGCTACTAGTCCAAGCAAGGAACCATTCTTTAAAAAGCAACAATGTTCTTACCCACCCATCATTTACTCAACCCCAAAACACAAAACCCTTTTGAAAAAAAGAAACAAAAGCTACATCAGACACATGGATCAGTCTCCAGTATAAGACCCATGCACCTGTCATTTCACTATCAATCAAGACGATTATATCCTTCACCTATTAAACTACGTAGAAAATTTTATTCTCAAAGAAATTGTAAGTACTTTGACAAAACAAAATTTGGTGGCCAGTTAATAAATACATTTAATGGACATTACTTCCCTGTTTGCCAACACCTTTTAAATGAAAATTATTTAGAGACCAAAACAGAGACAACAAAACCCCACCAAACCATTGGCCAGAGTGAAAGCTGTTCTCTTGTGATGAAATTGGTCTGATATTCTATAAGAATAATGTGATTGTTGATCACATGGGCAGTGGAAGGTTTATTATTATAATTATTGGTATTATTGATAGAGATTTATATTGTGGTAACACTCAAAGGCCCCATTCCTACTCGGGGCCTCTTGGCGCAAACCATGTAAGTAATAAACATGCATCAGTGCTCCATTGTACTGGGTGCTATATAAACACAGAATAAAAAGTCAGTCCCTGCCCCAAAGAGCTTCCAATCTAAGTACAAGATGAGAGACAAAAGGCAGATACAGATAAATTTCCCTATCTAGTCACTTCATTGATCTTAAGTGCTTGCATTTGGTAACTAACATGATCGGTGACATACTCTGTTTTCATTCAGCAACTGTAACCTGCTGTGAAACAAAGTAACAGGCAACTGAATCATGCTTGAATTTTTGTTGGCTTTGCTGTTCCAAAAACAAGGGTAATCTGGTATCTGCCATTGTCTTTAAGGGAGAAGCTGAGTGCACCATCCAAAAATAGCTAAAAAGAGCAGTACCCCAGTCTTGCAGAAAGAACCACATGGGTAAATCTATGTGCCCAATGCTCATAATGGTACCACTGGAACTCCACACTGGCACAACAGTCTGCCCACATGCTATCAGTTGCAGGACCGGGGTCTACCCTATTAAGAAGTGACCCCAGATTTTCCAGGTTTGTTTTGCGACATTGGTCATGCTGCCTCCCATCTGAATTCCATACAGGGGGCAAAGACTGCATGGGAAGAAGCACACGGTCTCGGCTCAGAAATGTGCTCGTGTTTGCAGCCATAAATCAGCAGGGAACAGAAGCAGCCATGTGAATCTCTATCAAAATTCTGTAACTGCCACAATGGTGAATGGAGAAGCCACAACAGTGCAGATCAGCACGGTCTATCCTGGCTCCAATCCTACAGGGTTTGCTCACATTAGCAGAGCCATCCAGAGAATTTGTGATAAGGCCTTGCACCCTCAGGGGAATCCAAAGACTCTGCAAATAACTAAAGGGTTTCCCAGGACTGGCCGCTGTGCAGTGATCCTGACATCTCTTTACGGTGTATTGTGCAGGCGGGGGCTGTGGTTACTGGACGGATGCCTGGGCTTGTGAATAAAGAGCTGGAATGAACCCCAGTGTAGATACTATCAGTACAGTGACCGGAGGCCAATGTGGCTGGGAGCCAATATGTGCTCAGGAACTGCCGTGGCCATTAGATGCTGTTTAAGGGAAGGAGTCAATAGAGGCCAGCGTACCAGGGAGCTCCTAAGCCTTTTTCAGATGGAGGAGTTTTAAACTGGGGTCCCCTCCCCCTGCCTTTGGGAGCTCGGCTTAGAAATGTGCAGCCATCTTTCCCAAAGGACAGCCCGGCACTCTGTGCTACCTGGGGCCAGTCTTCCTGAGAGGAGAGTGTGTCTCAAACCCATGATGCTTCTGGCCCAGAGATGGGGGCAACCCTGCACTGCCACTGCTAACTTATCTCGCTGGAGCCCAGGTAAACCCAGAGCCCGCCCTGTGTCTGATAATCGTGTTCTCAGAGCACACCGAGCCAATCCCACGCCACGAGTGACACTTACCGTGAATAGCCCTTTCCTTCTCCTCCTGCTCCCAATATAAAACCTGGATCCCTTCACGGACAAGGATGCGGGGAAGGGTGTATCCACCACCCTGGAGGGATTACAATAAGAGGCACATGAGCACAGAGCAGCTAACTTCATGGCATCCACCGGTGACTGGAGAGACCAACCCTGGGCCTGCCTGGCCTAAGGAGATTCGTGTAATTACAGTGCTCAGGTGCTAGGAAGACAAATGGAAACACAGGCATTGCCAGACTAGTTCAGACCAATGCTCATCTAGCCTGGGGTCCTGCCTCGGACAGTGGCTAGGATGGCTATTCATATTTGGACTCCTACTAAAAGATGATGATGATGATGATTTCATGTGGCAGAGAGTTCCAGAAGGTAATTCTGTGATGGGCACTAAAGTCTTTCCTTTTCTCGGTTACAAACATGCTGCCTTTGGATTTTAGGGAAGAACCGGGTCTCACAGGCTGCGTTGACTCTGACCTGGACAGAACATCCGGCGGCTTTTCAGATGACAAGTCCCCTACACAGGTCTTCAGCGAGATCACTTAAGCTGAGACTGTTTCTGCTCCCCTTCATATCTGCTTACCAAATCCTCCCTCCCCATTTGTAACACTGTGGATGCCCCAGATTATTCCCTTCCCTCCAGGGAAGGCACCTGCTCCCCCAGACCTTCCACCTGGGGTCAGTACCTTCCTCCTGAGCCAGCCAAGCTACAAGTGAGCCCCCCCCCCCCCCAATAATGCCCCTCCTCAAGGGGGGGAGCCAATGGTGGACCCTTCTCACACTAAAGTCACCAGACAGCAGAGCCAAGCAGCCTATGGACTGCGTGCAGCCAGTTTGGTGATTATTATGTAGCATTTATACTGCAATAGCACCCAAAGGCCCTTCTCCCCAGCTGATCCATCTTGCCCTGGGCACTGAACAAACTCTGGATCTGGGCAATACACATTTTGTAGGGGTTGCAAAAATATTGGAAAGAAAATGAACAGTTTGTGTTTTGTCCAATGTTTCACTTGATTTCAGGTTTTCATTTTAATATGAAAAATTGCAAAATGAAAATGGAAAATTTTCATTTTATTTAGAAAAAAATCATTTTTATTCCAAAAATATTTCAGTTTTAGGAGGGCTCCCCCTTTTCCCACACTTTTACTCCCCCTCCCTTTTTTTCGGAGGGGGGGACTTTCCCCACTATTTCCAAATGAACATTTAGATTTTTTTCCCCAAAAAACTCCTTGAAAACAGGCCTTTCAGGTAAAAAAAAAAAGTCATTTTTCAGTGAAACCCTGTTTTTAACTGGCTTTTTGGTGACATTTTTCCAGCCAGCCCCAACACAGCTCAGAGCACCAGATCCTTGGGCCTGAAACACAGACAAGACAAACAACAACAGAGAAGTGGAGCATTGTGGGGGAATGAGATGAAAGCAAGGAGACACCTTCCTTTCTCCATTCCCTACCTCCCCATTCCCAAAACATCTCCTCCACCCCCACCCAACTTACCCTGCCAATGCTGCCCCAGTGCACTCTCCTGCTGCCCTGCCCACCTCATGGCACCCGTCCAGAGTGACTGACGGCCTCTAGCCCGGCATGATGGGACTCCAGCCAGCTCTGTTCTTTGTAACTCCATGGCAGAATGGCACAGAAAAGAGGAGACCATGAACCTGGATTGTCTCAGTGCTCCCGCCCCTGAGGAGACCTTTGTGGAATTCCTCTTGGGGCAGGCAGGTCACCCCCAGTAACAAGGAGCCTGGCTCCAAACTTGGGAAAGAGAGCCGAGTCCTCCAAAAAATTACTGACATTGCTGGGTATCCTCTGAGAATGCCAGGCTGGTGAGAGCTGGAGCAAGATGCTGCTTTCCAGGACTCCCTGCCTGAGGGCCAGGGACAGGACATAGAGTTCTGTCCTTTCTGCAGCATTGGGAAGCATCCAGGTTCTCTGCTTTGTTACGTGTGCCAGGGTGAGCTGGCAGGAGTAGACAGAGCAACAGCAAAGCCTGCAGAGCACCCACATCTGAAAAGCTTTCACCTCCCCCCAGCCAGCCCTACACCCAGGAGGTCCCCCTGAATTGCACTTACTATACATACACGTCAATGGGGATACTGCAGTCCACAGTCAGGGAGAAGAATTGCCCAGACACGGCCAAGACAAGCGTGTGCCACTGATTGTCAGTTAAGGAGATGCCTTGGAAGGTGACCTGGGTCTGCCAGCCATTGGAGAGCTCTCTGCTCCAGAAGAGGAAGTGGAGTTTGTTCAGCGAGTACCTGAGCCCAACCAGCACCGTGTTGCTCTCCTCCTTCACCACAGTGAAGATGTACTCATTTTTCTGAAAGAGCAGGGAAAGGGTTAGTTCTGAGGTCAGCATTTGGGGCGTGGAGGCTGTCCATGGACGACTATACATTCAAACCTTTTTTCTCATTGATTGCACTGGAGAACTGGGAGCTCACAGGCAGGAATGATGAGCTTGTGGTTGAGACACTGGAGTGCAACTCTGGTCTGGATATGGGCTTGGGTCCTAACCATTCATCAAAGGGGAGGGGCATCCACACCCAGGGCCCTGGTGCAGGCCCTTCTCCATGGCATGGTTGGTGTTTACCTTTGGTGGGACGCTGAGGACCCTCAGGGTGATGATGATGGAGAATTCCTCTGGGAAGAGGTCACAGTAGAGGAAAATCTGGGAAGCCGGGAAGCTCAGGGCATGGCGTGCTGATGCAGAGAACTGAAACCCACGTGCCCCCTGCACTTGGAGCATCCGAATCCCACTTCTCACACCACTAGTCGGAACCACTTCCGAGAGAATATCCAGGGGGCGCAGGTCTGTGCCAGAGAAATCACAGAGCCACGTCACTAAGGTTGCTCACCACCCTTACCAATGGCATGAAGATCATCAGTAGGGCTGAGCTAATAATGGATTTTTCCATTTGGGTACCGAACCAGAAACAAAAACTGGTTAATTCAAAACCATTTTTTTTTTAATTCTAATAAAAATTCATTTTGAATCAACTGAAATATTTTGGGTTGATTCAAAATGATTTTTGAGTTTTTCATTTCAAATTGGCTGTTTTCAGGTGTTTTTCACCCTTTGTGTGTGGGGGCAGGGGGGAGTGTTTTAATTGACCAAATTTGAATTCAAAATACCTGTTTCAAATGAAAAGGCCAAACAAGCTGTTTCTAAATGGCCAACGTGAAACCTGTCAACTTTTTCAAAAAGAAAGTTCATTTTTTTCCCCTCGGCCAAAAACCATTTGTTGAATTTGGCCCAAATTCACAAATAGTTTGGGAGCCCTGAAAAATGCTTTTTGTGACCAGAAGATCGATTCAGCTAAATAAGTAATTAAAACCACCCAGCTGGAATCACCAACAAATGGGGGGGGAGGGAGGATGATGGATCAGATGCAGGGGGAGGGGAGGTAACATACAAAACCCCCAATAGCACAGCTGCCACGCCATGTGCACATGCCATACCAGAGCCATGCCCCGGACTGACCAGTCAGCTCCGCCCACCTGCTTCCCCTCCCCCTGCTCTACTTCAACCCTCAATTTGCTTTGTCATTTTGGATGTAGGCTGTGCGCTCCTCTGGGTAGATGTGCCTGCGGTTGTTTTTGGGATGTGCCTCCCACATTGCGGGGGCTCAGAAAGGACCCTGGCCAAGCACTCATCACGACACGCACAGATGGCTCACGCTCACCCCACGCTACTGCATGGTGTCAGCGCTGTAGCATCACTGGTTTGAGATGGCTGGATTCCTTATGAGCGGTGACACCCATTCACTTCTACAGCCCTGGACAGGGATTTGTTTGGTGCCCTGTATTCTGCAGAGATCACAGAGTTCAAGGACGGAAGGGGCCAGCAGATCATAATCTGACCTGTAAAGCACAAGCCCCCATCGCCACCCAGCCACAGTGCTTGAAATGGGGAGAGGGCACAAGGGATTGCAGACCTGGCCAAAAAAAAAAACAGAGTTTCAATTGAGCTAGGGGGCTCCGAGGGACACTTCCAGCACCGTCTTACCAAAGCTGCTGCTCCCAGTTCTGAGAGGGGCCCCCACACTTTGGGCATGGTTCAGCCACCTGCACACCAAACCCAACAACCTGAATTAGCCCAAAAGATTACAGTCCAAAGGAGACTAAACTATTGTGTGCCACAGGCAGAGAACAGAGAGACTGGGTGCACCAATGCCTGAGACCCCTGCACTGGCAGGAATGATTCAGTGAGAGATATCCAGATAATCCTGACAAGTGACCCACACCCATACACTGCAAAGGAAGGTGAAACCCCCCAAGGTCACTGCCAATCTGACCTGGGGGAAAATTCCTTCTCGACTTCACATGGCAATCAGTTAGACCCTGAGCATGTGAGCAAGACCCAGCCAGCCACGCATCAGAGAGAGAATGCCCAGTGCCATCTCAGAGCCCTGGCCCACCCTGCTAGTGTCCCATCTCCAGCCATGGCCATCCCTGATACTTAGGAGATAACCCCTCCCCTCAAAAAAATACATTGGGAGGGGGAGTTTCCTACCTCACCACAAAGGATTAAGAATGCTTTTTAACTCATGGGACTGGTCAATGAAGCGGCGCCAGTTCACTCCGCATGGGAAACAATATCTGTATCCCTTTGCCTGTAAAGCCATCCCGGCTTGGAACCCGGAGTTCAGCTGTGCTTGGAGGGATAGAAAAATCACTGCTAATACATTTCAGATAATTATCTCCCCCCTACGCACTGGGGCCAAGGATCAGCCCGTGATCCACTTCAGTCTCTGCTGGCACAGATGCCCTGATGGTAGAGAGTCCACCATGGGGAGGGGTGTTGATGGAAAGTGGCTTCTCCCTTCCCTCCACTGTGGGACCTGCATCAGAGTGGCCAGGGAAGCTCTGATCTAGCATGTCTTTCCCATGGATCCCTGGCCGTAAACTAATGCTGCCCACACCATTCAGAATCTCCAAGAGGGAAAGTCAGGCTCAGCTCCACCTCTGATTGGTGATATCCACGTACATGGACAGCTGACAAACTGTATTTGTCATGCGCCTTTGAGCACTGCCCCTGCACTCTGCCCATCTTCCACGGGACTCACTCCGACAGCCCAAACCTGTGAGATGCTTCAGACAACTGCTTAAAAAAACATTTCTTTCCTTCTTCAGCCCCCTACTCCCATCCTTCAGGGGAGAGGGCATTTCCTTCCCCTCCCCACCCCAGGGAAACAATGACCCTGCTCTGAATTGCAGGGCAGTTGCTGCTCAGTCCTGTGCCAGGGACAGGTTAAAGAGCCCAGTAGCTCTCAACCCATCAGGCCAGCTTCCCGCTGAGACATAGCACTTGATTGCCAGCCCTGCTATGGCCCAGGAGATTGGCCCTTGCAATCCTGGCATTATAACGGCTACTTTAGGGATTGCTCGGTGGCGTTGCATTGAATCTGTGTGCTGCAGGCAACATGCCCAATGACTAGACCAATCAATGACTAAGCCAACCAAGCATGCTTCGGGGTGGCGGGGAGCCAGATCTAGAATCCTGGCCCTTCTCTTCCAAAACTACTGGTCACTGTCACGCGAGCCAAAAGCCATCTCCCTTCAATGGGTCACATATCCTCGCTGCCACTAGGGGGCAACACACACCTAGTATAACACAGTCTTCCACGTATGGTACTGAGGTGCCTGGCTTTACATGCCCCCTGGGACACAGCTTTCTAAAGACTCCTGGAAGCACAGAACACCTTGGGGAGGACTGTGCCAGCCCAAACTCCTGCTGGTAAATGCTTTGTACAGCACTACCTCACCCACTGCGTGTCTGGCAGGCAGAGGCGATGCGGGTGCGGATCCCGATATAGTTTTAGGCTAGAAATCATCCTTGACCAGAGCCTGCATCTGCATCTGGGGAAGTTCAGGTCTGGATTTACGCTACAATTCAGGCTGGAGGCTCAAGCAGCATTGGGGTTTGGGTGCAGAATCAAGGTCATGAAAGCCTCGGGAGCCATTCCCACAGGGATTCAGTCAAAAGGGGGAAGTCCTGGGAGCTGTACCGCTCTCATGAAGTTTCAGAGACCCAGAATCCCACAAAGGGCTCTGAACGTTTCTGCATATGAACTGAGACCGAAGTCGTAGGGGCAGGTTTGGATCTGCAGCTCAAAATCCAAATGGCCCTGGAATTTGAAACAGCTTGCTTTGGAGGTTCCAGGTTTTTTGGCTCATCCCTAATTATGCATCCACCCACCCAGCCGGCCATAGGACATCGTTGTTAAAGAACTGACATCTACTCGGAGAAGAAAGCAACGCACATGTGGCCTCAGGATATCCCCCCACTGAAAAACTCAGCGAGCAGACAGCCTTTGATTGGGTACAGCTGGGAAGTGCAGACATCAGCCTGGCCACTCACAACCTGTCTGCAGCGCTTCAAAGCCATGCCAGCAATGCTGAATTGTAGCCAGTTAAGAGCACCCGCCGTCTGATCTCTTCACAAATGTGCTGTGGAGCAACTGCGAAGGAGCAAACTTTGCCCGGGTGCTTCACCTATTAACCGGCATCAGCATCACATCGGTCCAATTTTTCTTAATTGCTGTCGGCGTCCCTGACAACGTTCTTTGTATAACAAAGGCAGATCAGACCAGAGTGTTTGCACTGGTTGTGCACTTGAGTAAAGATCTGTTCGTTGCACAGAATCTGGTGCATTGATGTTCCTCCCACCCTCAGCTACACCGATGCTTTTAAGGTGACGATACCTTTCAGCAGAACTGTGCTAGACAGCTAGCATGCCTGGCTCTGGTATCTACTGGCTCCTGCTTGTAGGAGAATATTATTATTATTATTATTATTATTATTATTACTGTAATGCCATGGAGCCCGCATCATGGCCAAGGACCCCTTTGTGCTAGGCACTGTACAAACTCAGAACAAAGAGACCGTCCCACCCCAAAGAGCTTACTAGTGTGAAAGTTACTAGTGACACCCCCCCGCCCCCCCTTAACAGAGCAGCCTTTATGTCAACCAGTGGCCATTAGGGGGAAGCAGACACTTCAAGTACACAGTAGCCTGAACTTTTCAACTGTCTTCCCTTCAAGGCCTTAAGGTAGTTGGAGCTGGTCCCAAGCCGGTTTTCACTGACCAGATAGCAAAAGCAGGGCCGGCTCCAGGCACCAGGCACC